TAGATTTTAGAATTCAAATCATCAAAGTAAACAATCCTTATCAAAATGCAGATAAATAACAACATTAATAGAACTTAAGTAATATGAATAATGCATCACAAGTACTATAATCAATCAATTTATAAACCACAACTCTTACTGAACTTTATGATTTTTAGTCACGGGAATGAACAGTTTACAGATCAATTATACAAAGTACCATTCTAGAGAAAAATAGGACAAAAGACATGACAAGCATATTCATATTTTAGATCGCTTCCTCTGTATTCACATGTATGGTACTCAAACAGCTATAAGTAATTGCTGGATCTTCCTAATAAGAGATAGTATATAGGTCAAACATTAACTGATACACCGACACTTTCTTCACTAGAATGCCCTTCTCAAGTGTACAAATTTATTATTTGTTTGGTGCTTCAGTTCAAGAATAATATCAAGTTTATTGCTCTCATTTTGAGTAACGACACTGCAGTATTACTAGTCAGTGTTTACCTTCATTTTGCATGAACTTCCTAAAAAAGTATGAGATACAGAAATAAGAAGGATTCACATTAGAACTTATGTTGTAATAAGTTGGGCAGCACAGTTCACACTATCTTTCTTTTATAACGTTGGTGTCCAGGCCAGCTTGCACGCACCTTGACTAATTCGGTAATTCCACCGGCACCTGCTACCTTCCACCAGTACAATTATCAGGAAACTCAACACACCAAGGCTTGGACATATGAGAAGAAATCACCTAGTATTGACCACTAGGCCATACCCTTGGGTGTTCCGCAACTCCTAATAACTAAATATTGAATCTCTACAGTATGCTATTATTTCCTTTTCCATTAGTATGAAGTAAGAACTATTTAGTATTAAGCAGCTTACATTTTCAAAGTGTCTATTTCCATTCACTAGTTTTCTATTTATTATCCCAATTACGTTTTGGGAGCATCAACTTCAACTCACAAATTTATTTATCCACTCCAGTCTGCACCAAAGAGATCTAATTTCCTTTGAGCCCTTTCCCTTGAATCTGTCATGGAAGCCACTCCAATGACCAAAATACTTCCCATGGAGAGACTGAAAAACTTGCAAAAGGAACTCGAGAAGTTATCAAACAGTTATACATTAGATCTGAAAGCAGTTCCACACAAGCATTCATACTGCTCAGTTCTATCTTTTTGCGTCAATCCCCTAGCAGCTTACTATTATATCTCATAAAATAACTGCTTTTCTGGATGCAAAATGTATGAACTACTGAAGATTCTATGTGACATAAACTTTTTTCATCAATTGTTGTTATTATTACGCATAACACAAGTATTCATTTGCATAGAGCAAAATTGAGGACTAAAGAAAGCTTAAGATAAATTCAGTTATCAGATGGAAAGAACCATAGATCCCATAGCTATATGAGTCAGACAAGGAAAACTAAGATGTTTATTAGGTCAGAGGTTGAAAAATAAAGAGAAAATTCAGATTATATAAGACCGACAACAGATTGACAAAGAATGCTTCCCTCTTCTTGAGTTGTTAATTTAGGAATTATTTCTAAGATTACAAAATCATTAGAAGAGCGGTTTTAGGTAGCACCAGCACTAAAAATCCTATCTTATACAACATCATATCCAATGTAGTTCCACAAAGTAGGAACAAATCCTATCTTATATAAATAATTAAAAAAGAAGATGGCACCAGCACTAAGGTAGAATGTATAATTTGAGGGAAAAGCACCAGCTAGTAAGGAAGAATACGACTCCAAGGTTACTTTTCTTCCCTAATAATTTGATGTTGTTGTTGCAAGTAAATTACAAAGCAAAATACGGATTCATGTCACTATTTTCTGGCATTCATGTCAACGTGTTTATCCTTTCAGAGTCTAGGAGAGTAATAGACCCATTTTGAAAGAGACATCTGCTAAAAAGAGGCAATTGCATATATATGAATTTAAAATGCCATATTTTTAAGTGTCTTTTCAAATGAACCCTAAATAATGGATAAAAGAGTAATGTGATTTGAACCAAGGTAAAGCATTAAGCCTATGAATTTCAAATACATAGCACGAAATCACTCAAATTCAAACGGCCTGCATACTACAAACTCATCAAACTGAGTACCATACTTCTTTCCTAAATCCTAATACTTCATCCATTCCCATTCTCTCTTCCCAATTGCTCTTGATTTTCTGCTATCTTTTAAAACAGTTCACCGCCATGCTAATTCAGTAATTTGCAAGTTCCTTTTTACTTATCAAGTAATCAATATTGACTATATTTAAACCTACATTGGATATAAGTATACAACTGAGATATCTAATAATAGATTAAAGGTACTATAACTTACAAGTTTTGCTTATCTGAATACAGAACGATGCACTAAAACATTTGGCAAAAAAGATCATTTTGATGGACAAAGTAAGCATCTTAAAGCATACCTATGTAACTGAATTGCCTTCGCTTTCCTTCTCGTACATCAGGACCTAGTCTCTGCAGCAAATGAACAAATATGTAACACTCATCACTAACCACGAAAAAATAGCAATAATACCTCACAATTGATAGAACATAAAATTACCTTGGCCACCATAACGGCTTCGTATACCTCTTGCTCTGTTGAAGCCACTCTACAGTGAAATATGAAACATTAATTTATATCCTTTAGTCAATTGTAACTAGAAAGTTCTCTAATTACCTGAGAATGCGCTTAATTTGAGGAACAGAGAACTTAGCTAAATCCATAGCCCACCGGACGGCGCGTCGAGCTTCACGCTTCTTCTCGTTACGACTCTTCCTTGTTTTCTCATCGGAATCGCTGTCGCTCTCCGATTGATCTAACGGTAATGGACTTTCACGTGATTTAAGTGCCGCGCCGGAACGAAAATGAGCTTGCCGGTAACCGGAAGGTGATACCGTGAATGACGGCAGTCGGCGAACATTGCAGGTCGAGAAGAGTGGAGATTGAGATTGAACAAAGTGGATAAATGAAGCGCGAACGTATAAATAGTGATGCCATTTTGGCCAATTCATCAGAGGCTTCATTACATTAGCCATTTCTGTGCGACTGTGTTAGCTTTTGCCGTTTTGCTTGTATTCAGGAACTTATAATGAGTTGGGCCTCAATATCAAGGTAAGCGTAAAAAAGGCCATATTGTAGATATTGGGCCAAACGTATTATGAGTTGGGCCTCGACATCGATGTAAGCATGAACAAGACCATTTTATAGATATATGGCCCAACTATAGGCAAAATCCACTTGGGCCTCATAGTACGTCGTCCAATAGAAATGCTCCACATGGACATATTGTTACACACATGACTTGGGGTCATGAGTTCCTACCTTTATTAACAACACAAGTTATATTTGGTATGACGTTATGATGAATGTGATCGATACCAGATATGCAATGATTCTGATCGCTCTTGCTGGTATTTCTTCGAAGATGACCTATCTCTGGTGCCTTCAACTCATCCTTTTAGTATTATTTTAATATAACATGTTTTTATTCTGTGTGACCACGTGTTTACCATGCACATATGTTGAATACCTATTAATATCATATCATGTTAATAGTATATCGGGCTACTTTAGCTCAACATCAAAAACTTTCTAGAATTAGAAAATTGAAATTCTACTTTTTTTAAAGTATGATTCAAATTAGGAGAGCTGCCCAATTACAAAAAGGAAGGCATCGAATTCCAACAAGCAACGGCTCTTCGATGTTCATTTCCACTTTAATTTCCTGTTAAGAATACTGATCTTTTTTGTCACTCTCACTATTCGTGATGAAACTCTTCTTCTTTGATATCGACATTTAAACTTATCAACACTTTGTTTAGTTTTCTCTTTCTTTATTGGTCGTTTTCTAAGCCCATTTTTTTCATCAAGAGGCGAGATTCTGCGATAATTATCCAATGTTTTGTTGGTCTTACATGAAAAATAACTTTGATAATATAGGCTTACCCTTGAGCATGAGAACAATACGTTAAACGTATTTTTGATGACATGTCTTAAGAATACTTAATTTTGATGGCCACAAAAATCTGCCAAAGTTGAATTGTGCATTTTTGAGAACGTATTTGTATTAGGTGTTTATTTCAATATTTGAATAAGATTTCAAATGATAAAACTTATATGATTTTATTTATAATTAAAAAAATTTACTCAAACGAATTATGAATTTCTAGAATACTATTATAAGCATCTCATCAAAAACTCACAACAGCTTCCCAAACAAAGACTAAGAGAGAAAGAAAATCATAAATATGATTGACATAATATTTACGATTGAATTAAGAAAAATCATAAGCCTCGAATAATTTGAAAAAAAAAAAACTACTTGAAATAAAGACAGATATACTATGTGTCATTTTGTAATTGTAGATAAGGATGACAGATGTCACTTACTAGTTGCTACTCAACTTGCTTTTGATTTCATAATGATGAGATGTTGAAAACTCAAAATATGGATGGCAAGTGACTTCACTAGTGCTTTTAATTTTCTATAATAATATCATATTTATCGAGCGTTAAAACAAAAAATATTTAACCAAATTTATGATGATGTTTATCATTTGAACAATTATTTCTTAGTTTCTGGCCTAGAAGATTATCTGATTGATTTGTTATGACATGTAATTCTTATCTTACAAAGTGGGGACCTAATGATATTGTGGACCAAATTGGCAACATTTTCACCTCACAAAGTCACAAGTTGGACATATGAGAAGTCATGGAACAGGATCGAAATCTACAAAAAGGTATTTTTCAAACTTCCATTTTTACTCTTTTTTAAAAATAAAATATATTTCAACCTTACATTAATAGAAACATATGAAAGGAATCCATGATCATTGACCAAATGGAAAAATTTATACATGTTGCTTTCCAAATTACGTACGTAATAGTATTTGACTAAACATTACAGTTTAAAAGAAGATTATTTATGTGGTTATAAAAAAAGGTATTATATTGTGAATTCTAATAATACAAATGTTGATTGGACAATTTTGATGAACTTTCAGACTTCAAAAACCTCGTCTGATTATTTATCTTCCACACAAATAACATAACAAAATTTTAAAGTAATATATACATAAAGTCACATTTACATACTGATCTTATTCCTCTTAATCCGAGATTTCAGATTTGAGTTACGATCAGAAATTAAGTCCCTCTCGATTAGGAGAGCTAAAATCTACATTTATGACTAATCGGGCGGGAGATTTCGAAAAAATCTACCAACACTGATCGGTTTCCCATTTCCGGCGAACAGTATAATGGCTACGAGCTCCCGCCGGTGAGAAATCAACAGGCCTTGCAATTCTATTCCCAAATAGTTTCCGATCATAATTAGCACGTTTTTCCGGGTCGGAAAGAGTAGCATACGCTGATTGAACTCTAATAAAGTCCTCCGCCGACGAATTCTGAACATCCGGATGCAAAATTCTGGCTAATTTCCGGTAAGCAGACTTAATTTCATGAGAATTAGCTCCTATTTGAATCCCTAAAACTTCGTATAACGATGTATGTGAGGCTATTGTAGAGCTACTACTACTACTAGTAGTAGAAGTCCTCTCCGCAGTGGAGTAAGCAGCGGAAACAGAGAACGGCCGCTGCCGGAAACTAACTAAACTCGGCGGTGGTGCAGCGGCGGAGAGTTTAGAGCCGGCAATTGAAGTGGAGAGAAGAAAAGAAGAAGAAGCCATGATTTTGGAATAATTGTTCTAGAAGAATTTGGTTAGTTATTGGAGAAAATGATAGAGTGAATGTTTTGGATAGATGGAAAAAATGGAAGAGCATATTCCTATTTATTAGAGATGTTTTGGAATACCACGAAAATTAAAGAGAAAAAGAAAAGGAGAAGTGGGGATGTTAGGAATAGTGCCGTAATAATACAAAATTCGTCCATTTCATATTTTACTTATCCATCGTATTAAAAATATTTTCAAAAAACATATAACATAAATAAGTAATATGAAACGAAGAAAATATTAATTATAACGATTCGTCACTTGCAATTGTGATCACAATTATAACTTATTTTTGTTATTAGATTCAAAATTTATTATATGTATATATTTAATTAAAATAATCGTGTCATACTCCGTATATGCTGCTTGATACATATCGTGAAACGATGGAATATTATATATTTATGATTTAATGTATATTAAAATGTTGGAAGTAAAAATTGGAGAAGTAAAAGCTCCCATACGCTCATAATAATGGTAGGGACATGATTTGTGGTGTACGTGTGAGGACTGAGGTGGGATTTTTTGCTTTTGGATTGTATGGTCTTATCCATTGCTGACTCAGCCCGACTCGGAGAATTTTGAATTTATTTATTTGATTTTGATTTAACACATAATTTTATTAAAAAAATTATTTTTTATTTTTAATTTATCTAAATGAACTAAAAAAAAATGAGACACACAAATTAAAATAGGGATAAATTTATTTTCTACGTAAGTTATGAGAATGTGGTCACTACAAATTACTACTCTATATGTTTTTATTTACTTGTCAAATTTTGACTTAAAATACTTATTAAGAAAATATTGATTGATATAGTACGCTTACAATTTTATTTGTATTAATTTATAGAGTCTCAAACATCTTATTCACTAATGGGAAAAGAAAAATTGTCTTTACTTGATTTGTCAGAAATGACAAGTAAAAAAAGAATAAAACAATTTAACTTTAAATTTCTTCTGTATCCTATAATGAAATGATCATGAAATTTCATTTTTTTTAAATTTTGTGTCAAATCAAATCACGCAATCGAGACTGAGGAAGTATAAGATTGGTGTGTAGGGCTTTAGACAAGTAGCACATGTTAAATATTAAAGGTGGTCCTGTCGGTTCATTTCTACAAGGAGAAACCAAACGCGTATTAGGAGCAGCTAGCTAGCCTGCCTGCCTGTCAATTCATCACGTCGGCACCGAAATCCTTCTGGAGATGCTAAATATGGATGCCACTTGGATCAACAGAATTAGATATTTATACTAGATTAGTTAAGCAAATTCTAATTAGAATTCAATGTCAATCAATTCAAATTCATAATAAATGAAATTAACAAATTATCAACAATACTAATTATGGAGTATTAAAATTAGAAAGTAACATATTGACATTATATATTCCACCTAAATCACTAAACCATTTTTATATACTTAGAATTATTCACTTTATAAATCCAATCAAAGCCAACTTCACTTTTATAAAAAGGTGTCATATTATTGAGTATAAAGTCTAAAGTCATCATTGTGATTTAGCCCATGTCTCATAATTTAATTTAGCAAGATTTGTTGTCTCCTTTCACATACTTTATTTTCCTTTTTGGCAAAAAGCTAACAAACTAAAATCAAAAACACATTCGTATTTAAGAACATGTTTTCCTTTGTTTCGTTGAAAGTGATTAAAAGGTCAAAATAATAAGAAAGTAAGAGAGATTAAACATTAAACAAAAAATTACAAAGAGTAGCAAATATTGTTTTTTTTTTGTGGGGGGGGGGATGACTTCAGAAATAGAGATCAGATTGGTAAAATTGAGAGCGTCCAAATTGTCGTAACCAGGCTGAGCCTGAACGCCCTTCTCGCATAGTGCGAGTATTGACCACTCATCATATCCCATTAAAACTTGCCTGAAGGATCATGGTTTTACAAAGCCCATTGCCTCAATTATTTATTCTGCCCATAACCCACATAATTCTCTTACATTGTCCAATGTGGGATTATTTACTTCCATTCTTAATTACCAACTCCCCTTGAAGTACTACTAAGTTTAAACATTTTCAATGCTTTGCACATATTAGGTTTTTTGTATTGACTCACCATATCATTACAATTATAAATTCATATTTAATTATTATTGAAATTTTAATTGATTTTTGTATATATATCTATACGACAAAAGTTATAAATTTTGATAAATTCATAGTGAAAAAGCTACATCCACCTTTGGGCTTTGTATGTACCATGACCTTAAAATTGTAGTAATAGTAATTACCTATGAGTGTTTGGTAGGCCTTTGGCCATTATTTCGTTGATAGTGAAAAAAAAAGGAGTATTTGAATTTGAATATATAGAAACTGATCAAGTTGTGTATAAATATGAATTTCAATAAAAGAAAAGGTTGAAATACTATAAAAGAAAACAATTATTTCATTTGAAATATTTCTTAGGCAAGTTTTTACAAGTGATCAAATCATATAAATTATAAGTTAATTGTAATACCGCCTCATGAGATATTTACTCAAATGTTTGAAAGATGAAAACAGTAAAAATGTGAATATTAAGATAGGAAATAAAAATATTTGAGACAAGATGATTGTGGCCTCCATGGTGGTTTGATGGACAAGATGACTAATGAGATGTGAAAGGTTGGTGTTGATGGGTCTGAGGAGAGGTAGGCTTAGATGTATCGGAAATAAATAATTAGATAAAATATGAGAACACACGTGCAATTTACTAAAGACATATAATCGAAGATATGGATAGTTATATTGTATAGTTAGTTACCCTTATCGATTCCTCACGTCAGCACCGAAACCGTTGTAGAAATGCTAAATTTGGATGCCACTTGGAACAACAGAATTAGATATTTATACAAGATTAGTTAAGCAAATTCTAGTTAGAATTGAATGTCAATCAATTCAAATTCATATTAAATGAAATTAGCAAACTTTCAACAACATTAACTATGTAGTATTAAAATTAGAAAGTAACATATTGACCTTATATATTCCACCTAAATCACTATATCATTAATGTATAATTATCCACTTTGTATCCAATGAAAGCCAACTTCACTTTTATTAAAGGTGTCATTTTGAGTATGAAGTCTAAAGTCATTGTGATTTAGCCCATGTCTCATAATCCAAAATTCCAAATCCAGCAAAGATTTGTTTATAAATAAAATGTAAAAAAAATGTGTGTTTTTTTTGGTTGGGGGGGAGGGGGGGGGGGGGGGGGGAGGAGGGAGGGGTGTGGATGACTTTAGAAATAGGGATCAGATTGGTAAAATTGAGGACGCCCAAATTGTCGTAACCAGGCTGAGCCTGAACGTCCTTCTCGCAAAATTATTGCGAGTATTGACCACTCATCATATCCCATTAAAACTTGCCTGAAGGATCATGGTTTCACAAAGCCCACTGCCTCAATTATTTATTCTACTCACTAACGCCCATTACTCACTTTATTCTCCAATGTGGGATTTTATTTACTCTCAATTCTTAATTACCAACTCATCGGGTAGTATTTTTTCCGTCTTAGTTTATATGATTTATTTATTTTTTAGTTTATTTTAAAAAGAATGACACATTTTTATATTAAGTAATAATTTAACTTTAAAATACTCATTTTACCTTTAATGAAACATTCAAAGGCCATTATTTCGTTGGTGGTGAGAAAAATGAGTAAATGAATATATAGAAATCGAAGTTGTGTATAAATATGAATTTTACTTAAGAAAAAATTCATATAATATAAACAAACTATTTCTTTTGAAATATTGCTTACAGAAGTTTTTACAAGTGAAGTCATATTGCAGTTAAAAGTTGATTGTATGGCATAATGAAATATTTACTCGAATGTTCAAAAAAATGAAAAGTAGTAATAATGAGGATATTAAGATAGATGTTTAGGTACTGATTGAGATAAGATTAAAAATGAATATATTTGAGACAAGATAAGTGTGGTCTCAAAGTTGGTTTGATAGACAAGAAGAGAAAACGAGATTAAGATAGTGTAGGCATGTGAAGAGAAGATGTCCAGATTCTTCAAATTCGCTCAAATTACGATCCTTTCCTAAAGGCATTATTCTAAATGGAATCGAAGATAAGGTTAAAGAGTTGGGTGGTAATCAGATTGTATTGTTGCCCTCATCAATGGTACTAGAAATGTTAATTTTGATGCCACCTAGAAGTTGGATCAGCAGAATTAGATATTTTTATATAAGATTAATTAGGCAAATTCTAATTAGAATTGAATATCTAAGTTCAAATTATCATAACAAAAAAATTAGCAACCCATCAACAACACTAATTATGTACTAAAATCAGAAAGTAGCATAGTGACATATATGTTACACACCTAAAATACAAACCATTTATTTTAAATATTCACTTTATATCCAATCAAAGTCATTGTGAATCCATGCGAAAGAAGCATACTTTATATTCTTTATGGTAAAAAGCTAACCAAACAAAACCATAAACTTCTAATTCAAGCATAGGTTTTCCTTTGTTTCATTAATAAAGTGATTAAAAGGGTCAAAATTATCAAGTAAAATTGGAAAATGACAAAAAAAAAAAAGACAGACAATTTTCACTTTTTTTTTCTTCATTCAGTGCTATGCTTGCAATAGATAGCCTTTCATTCAGTGCTATGCTTGCAATAGATAGCCGATGCTTTAAATAGAATTTTTTCTATATTCAGTAAATTCGAACCTAATACCTCACGTTAAAGATGAAGCAAGTCTTATGATTGCACCACAACTCAAATTTATGTGCCACTTTATTTCATAATTTATTTTTAAAATATTGTCAGACTTTCATATTTAAGCATACTTTTGAGGCCATAGAGATATTATTTATTGTTTATAGTGATAAACTTAAGAACCAAAAATAGTAACAATAAGAGAAATTAAATAATAAGTAAAAAAGGAGAAAGATGAAACAAGAAAGTTCTTAAAAAAAGAAAAAGAAAAGCCAAAATATTGGAAAAAAATAATTCAAGCATAGGGATCAGATTGGTTTAAGCGAGGGCGCCCAAATTGTCGTAACCAGGCTGAGCTGGAACGCCCTTCTCGCATATTTTATTGCAAGTTTTGACCACTCATCATATCCCATTAAAACTTGCCTGAAGGATCATACTTTATCTAAGCCCACAGCCTCCATTGTTTATTCTAGCCAACCAGACCACAACCCTCTTCATTCTACGATGTGGGATATCCACTTCCAATTTTTACTACCGATCGGATGTTCGTACCATTTTTGTAACCTAACTAATTCAGACTTGTATCAAGAAATTTTATGTGGGGAGATAATATTTCCTATCAAAGATGATTCCATTTTCAATCCTTTAAGAATGAAGAAGTACTTGCTACTCTACGGAGTATAACTTTTCGTAGTTTATATATAATCAGTAATCAAAGGCTTATATCTATTAGCTTACTCTAAAGTCTGTCTATGAAGTGAAATAAGTACTACTATATAGTATTGAAACAATACTATTACTAATCATCAACTTTTCCACATTTAATAACATTTGCTGGGATTGGAGCTTCATCCCTTGGAGAAATCTTGGAAGGATCATTCACATCTCCTTTCACTCTTATATACAATTCTTGTCCAAGATACCATTTTTCTGCATCCTGTGATCTCAGATTCCACATCCCTTGATTGTCCAACTTTATTAGTATCGCGGTCCATGAATATGGATACACCTGCATTTCCGTTTATAAATTTAACTTATATATACTGACAATACTTCTACAAAAAAAAAACACTTACCACTCTCAGCGCAATTCAACATATTATAAAAGGTTACTTTATAGTGCCTACATTTACCAAAATAGTCACATCTCAAACCTGAATCGTTGAGCGATAAATAGCATCAATCATGTTGTATGTTTCCATCTTCCCCTCCTCCCATTTCCCGCGTCCCATTCTGCAATACGTTCAAGAATTATAATAAGAACTACGTCTCAATCTCAATCAAGTTAGAGTTAGCTATCAATGGTCGAGTGAATGAACAAATATCCCAAAATCGAGCTAGCTGTAATTACCCGACAACAAAGAAGTTGTATCCATCAGAATGCCATGTTTGTAACGAGTCTAACGGATTTTGGAAGACAACATGAACAAAATCATGATAATTGGCATCAATGACTGAGACACCAAGTCTAGGAACATCATCTACTGGTGCAGCAGGAACAAAACCAGGCTCAAAAACATCACTTAGCTGGAAATAATCTGCCAGCTTCAGTGGTGTTCTCGGGTGCAAAAACGATACCCCATTAACAGTGTATCGATTTTGTCCATCCAACGCTGCCTCACCGTTCTGGAGGATCAGTGTCCGGCTTATGTTAATGCTTCCATATACATAAGATCCTTGAGGATTACGCCTCGCTGCTCCTACTAATAAATCTGTCCTGTTTCAATAATTGGAAGTTTCAATTTCTAAACATTGCTATTCTTACAACAAACAAGCATTGTAACATGTTTGTACTTTGTACCAGGGGCGGAGCTAGAGTACCATTCACTTAATATGTATAAATAATTTATCTAAAGTCCGTAACCTGCATTGTAACATGTTTGTACCTTATTGATAGAGCTTGTTCCATAGAATATCCGTACTCGTCCTGAGAAGGTTCATCAGGGTAAACAGCAACCAGGGGTTCAACATCAAAACCGGGATAACGTATAATACCAAGGCCTGAAAGTTCCCTCGGGATGAATCGCGAAGAGGCTACCATATGATAAGAGCTACCATAGCTGTGATTCTTTGCAGTAACAAGAACAGAATAAGATTGACCAACATGTATGTCTAGACTTTGGTGGTACTTTTTTAAAGTGTAGGCTCCTTCAGTCTCCACCAAAAGCATTTCATGGTCCTGAATTTTGAAATTTAAGGTTGTTTTTAATCCTACGTTCGAGATTCTCAATCTATAGGTAGCCCCTGAAAACGAAACAGAGAAACCAAACTGTCATTAGGTACACATCATTAGAGGGAGCAACGGAATCAGGATTTTCAACAAGGGGATTCAGAACCACCTAAGATACAAACACGTGACTCAAAAAAAACAATTTTGAGCTAGTACCTTTATTGCTACACAAAAAGTTTGGTTAATTTACATATACAACAACAACAACAACATAGTCGGTGAAATCCCACTAGGTGGGATCTGAGAAGGGTAGAGTGTATGCAGACCTTACAACTGTTGGTAATTCTCTATACAAACGTAAACTTACCGGGTTGAAACTCAAAGATAGCTTGATTAGATCTCATTCCATTGATGAGAATGGCATCAGGAAAAGGCATTTTGCATCCATCTTCTAGAGAAATTCTCAAGTCCTTTCACAAAAACAAAATAATGTTACAACTAGACCACATTGTGCATTTTCATAATCAAAAACAATAATACTTATGTTACAAGTTTACACATACCTTGTACTCATCAAAATACCAATCTCCAATTAGTATATCGTATTCATAATCAGGACGCGGAAATGGAAGAGGAACAGTCTCAACGTTGTTAATTCGAATAGGACCATAGCCTCCAGCAGCTTTCTGGAAGAAAAGTGAAGGAAAATAGAAGAAACTTCCAATCTGATCTTTCATCTGAAATTTGTATGTCCAATTTTTTCCAGGCATAATTGGACAATTGGTTCCTTCAACTCCATCTTGCCATGAATTCCTCCTTAATTGCACTCCATTCCTTATAGTTTTCACGATATTTTAAGTTAAAGATCAAGAATAATTTCATGAATGTATATTATGTGGAAAAGTTATACGTAGACCAGAGACGAATTCAGAATCTACAATTAATGGGTTCAGAATGAGAGTGATCATAGTCTCAATAGTTGCATTTTTTATAGTCCCTACACATGTTGAGTTTCATTACATATATACTATTACGTTAAAAATCGTGTATGCATACTTAGTTCAAATTGAAAGTCATGAGTTCAATTGAACCCACAGAACTCGTCCTATAAGACGTATAAATGGTCATAAAGCATACTAAGAAATAAGAAACAATATTGAATAAATTACCATGTCATGAGAAAAGGTTCAGTCAAGTTATTATGAACATTGATAATGGCCACATCATTTGTTGTTGCGTTCAAAAGGGGCCCTGGAAACTGATTATTGATCATAATAACCTGTTTTCACCATCACAAAAAAAAAATAGTTATCTTAAATGCTCATTAAAAAAACATAATTAATAAAAAAAAATTAAGGTTAAAAAAAGGATTAAAACAAAAGTGACCTCTTTAGGATCTCCAATTGGCACATTAGATGAAACTGAAACAACCCAATCAAAGTGAAGTAGTTTTGAATGGACACTAACAAAAGTAGAAATTGTAAAAATATAAAAGAGAAAATTAG